TGTTTCTTTGAAATTCATAGATTATTATAAAAGAAAAATATTCTTTATCTCATTATTATTTATATTTGTTCATATTACAAACCCGATCGATCTGGAAAAAATAATTTCAAATCATATTGCATTAACTTAAAATTTATAATTGATAAGAATGATAATAACTAAATTAAAAAGTTATAATTTTAAAGAAATTATTATATCTGTGAGATTTTCAGCTAATAAGTTACCTAAACTTATTAACTGCAAAATTTACAGTAATATTAGATCATTTTTTCTTAAATAACAGTTTATATATTTCATTCCATTTAAATTTATGGCGGGAAATTTGCTAGTTCATACTTCCAGTACTATGATCCAGAGGTCGCTGCAAACACTAATCACGAAGAATAACTTGCGAGTGTCAGCCCCCTGTTGTTTATAGTCATCTCTGGAAGTTGGAAAATGGTTTCCCTTAGTATGTTTTCTCGAGGTTGTTATGCGATTGCAAACAGCTGCTTAAAAAGTGTTGGCACGAATTTATTTTCCAGACATTCCTTCATAGGTTTGCCACTCATATATTTTATTATTTATGTACAGTTTGAATAAGACTTAAAATTACTATGTTTATGTCATAACCTCTTTCATTAGTGGGGAAGATGATATTAGATTATTATTTAACACGTTGAGTGCCACGCGGTTTTATAACGACTTCCCGGTAAGGCCACACGCTCTGCGGACGGTTCAGTTGTCAGTCACCGATGACTAACGCGACCTGAACGGAAAGTTCAGTGTCAGTCACCGGTGACTGACGTAGCACTCAACGTGTTAACTAACGATTATGACATTTAACTAATGATAATGACAAAAAAGTGTTGGCACGAATTTATTTTCCAGACATTCCTTCATAGGTTTGCCACTCATTTTATTATTTATGTACATATTGAATAAGACTTAAAATTACTATGTTTATGTCATAACCTCATTCATTAGTGGGGAAGATGATATTAGATTATTATTTAACTAATGATTATGACATTTAACTAATGATAATGACAAAAAAGTGTTGGCACGAATTTATTTTCCAGACATTCCTTCATAGGTTTGCCACTCATTATTTTATTATTTATGTACATATTGAATAAGACTTAAAATTACTATGTTTATGTCATAACTTCTTTCATTAGTGGGGAAGATGATATTAGACTATTATTTAACTAATGATTATGACATTTAATTAATGATAATGACAAAAAAGTGTTGGCACGAATTTATATTCCAGACATTCCTTCATAGGTTTGCCACTCATATATTTTATTATTTATGTACATATTGAATAAGACTTAACCGTTTGAGTCCTAAGCAGCGCGATCGTGTTGTTCAGATTTTATGTCGAGAAAACCCAGCACATTTCGAGCGTTGTGGACAACTAACGGTGCGTCACAGACTGTCGAAGTCGCGCGCTCAAATTTACTGACCCATGTATATCACACAGCTCCTTCTTTTAATGTAAGTAATACATCTTACAATTCAATTGCGCCGATTCGGATTCATCGACATAAAATAAACGAAGCGCTGTCGTGCTGCTTGGGTCTTCTCGTACTCATTTAGAGAAAGCGTGGTTGCGCTGTTCGGGATTCTTCGACAGTGTTTTTTCAATACCCCCTGGGAGTCAAACGGTTAAAATTACTATGTTTATGTCATAACCTCATTCATTAGTGGGGAAAATGATATTAGATTATTATTTAACTAATGATACGGAATTGACAGGTTGCTTAAGGTGGTAAAGAGATTAAATCTATGAATACCGTTCAGTTGTACGTAAGGTAAAACTTAGGTTTGTTCTTAATTTTTCTGTAAGCATCCAGGTAATGGGGTTGTGAATAGAAACAATTCAAAATGAAATTCATTATACTTCCGCAACTTGTCACACTGGAGTTCAGGAATATCCCAGTTATTTTATTCTTTTGATCGGTGCTTTAACCAATTTTTATTCTACAGAGCGTAGTTCTTAACAGAGTTCATAATAAGTCTTCAATCCTCTTTTAGACACACCGAGGCATTCTTATTTTGATTGATTCTGGCCAGTGTTTCAGTAATTTCATGAGAGTTTGCCTGAGTACATAGTGACTAGAATGACAATTAAAAAAATAAGGTGACCAATTAGGGCTAAGTATTAGGTTATCGGATAAGTATATAATATAAAATAGTAAATATAACACGAACGGCGGTTCAGTTCACAATTTTGATAAAAGCTATTGAAATAAATATTACTCTTTTCGGGATATTATCCTAGATCTATATTTCAGGATAATAAACTTCTTGTTTTTACCACGCTGTACTCAATTTCATCTAACGTAGACCGTTTAATTTTTTTAGTTTAACCTTTTACCTTACGATTTAAATTCCAATAGCGTGTGCCATAAACAACAAAAGTGTCGGTTATACATCGGGCCATTTCACGGTTTGGCTGAACCTTCAAAGTCTCACACGTCTCTCATACATTTTGTTTACGTTTGGCCCGATTGATATTGTAAGTTAAGGGATTAAAAATGTATTATGCTCAAACAGCCAAGTTTCATGATTTCATTGTTCTCTCTGGTGGATGTACTGGACGCAACATTTTTTTAACAGGTTTTTTAAGGTGTGTTTTGGGGAGATCAAGGAACTCGGTAGAGTTTCGAGCTAAATACATTTTTGAGCAAGAAACTCGTAGCGTTGAGTGATGCGAGTATATTACACAACAAATTTCAGTGGTGTTACCAATTTTTTGACCATCGCATATGATTCTGAAATAATTAAAAGAAATACAAAAATAAGTCTTGTTCGAGAGTTTAAAGAGAATGATTTTTAAAATGAATTATTGAGTATCTGTTTGTTTTCATTTATTGTACACCGTTGGACATAAATGCCTTGCAATCATACACTCGTAGAAGAATAAGTTCTAAGGAAAGCATTCATGTCTGCCGGTGTACATTTATTTCTGTAATTTTTGAATTAATAAAGAAATAACTAAATGTCATTAAATGTTTTACGTTTTTTAGCTCAGAAGTTACAGGAGCCAATTGCAAGTGGTCTACGGTCGCACCTACCATGGATGCCAAAAATTCCAGAACACCAAACAGAAGTAATTGAAACAACGAAATACGATGAAAAGTTAACCAACGGTGTGTACATTTCATTGTTTAATAGTACATACGGTACTTTATGTAACAAAAGCATGGTTTACACAAGGAGAAAAATGTGTGTTGAGAATTTCCTGGATTTCTGAATATTGTTTTCTCTTTACTTATGCAAAGAAGTTGTTAAATAAATTTGTTGTTGTGACACAGGTTCAACGAGAGGGTGCAATAAACTATATGCGTGCAGAAGCCAAATTGATCGATCGAATAGTTTTTCAGCTATCGGTGGCACAATTTTTTCCTCGTGCGAAAAAATCAAATGTAACATTACAACGATACTAACGATCCAATAGTTAGATGTGCACAAGTTGAAGTTCGGAGAAGAACCGGCCGTTAAGGCGAAGTGAAACCCCCCTCAAATCAGTCGATGTGAATAAGACACTTTTTTTTAAAGGTATTCCATCCAACCGTCTAAAACATTGACACAAGACTCGTGAGCACCTGAGAATTATCCTGACACTTTCAAAATTTGGATTTTTCCAAAACATTTGTTAACTTAGCCCAGACCAGAACCAAAATGGCGTCGAGCTCCCATATTTCGATCAATATACAATTATCGAAAGCTCTGATATGTGAAACGAAAGGATTAGGACAATTTTACAACAATTTAGAACACTCTGGTAATCGATAAACTTGCATTTGAACGGGATAAAGGCAAAAAAAGTGTTGTATACGCTTCAATGGCAAAACGATGGGAATACGAGGTCTCGGAGTGAACATTTAATTGACATGGAAATCACAGATGGCGCAGGGGGTCCCTCTGCAGTCAATTAGGGTCCCAGAAAGCTCGAATCCAGAGGATTTCTGGAGTTTTACTTCGATTTCTTGATATTTATTGTACGAAAACGACAGGTGGAGTATGCCATTTGGTACAATACCCAATATAATTCGACACAGCTGTCGATATAAAAACGAACGTCGGCAACGTAGGCATTTAGAAAAATCTTTATCGACGTCGATCAAATTCCTCGACGTGTTTCACTTCACCTTAAGGTCCTTTTCTGTACCACTCCCCACTACCCTCCGTTGGTTTATATGCTCTGTCGCAGAAAGGCTAACTTTAGGTACCGAAAATGGCCACGAAAAGATGCGTAAACCATGCTTGCGGTACATAAAAAGTATTTATATCCTTTAATGTATTTTTAATCAGATTTAACATCGTTTTACGTTTTAGATGTGATCCAGGAAGTCAATAGGGAAATATCAGAAGGAATTGTAGGACGTCTATTTGCTGTAATACATATTTGTGGAAAACAATTTAAAGTGACTGAAAACGATATTATAATCGTGGAAGGTTACTGGCCTCCCAATCCAGGAGATAAACTGACATTGGAAAAAGTTATGCTCGTTGGTAGTAGTAACTTTACCCTCATAGGCAGACCTATTTTGAATAGAAGCTTGGCAACTGTAGATGTGACTGTTATCGAGAAAACGATGTCTCACACAAAGACACGATTCAGGATGCTACAAAGGAAGCAGTTCAAGAGAATAAACTGTAAGATAATTTTATATATAATTTTATTTATTACTAATTATAGTTTTCTAAGCGTTTAAGGTGAAGTGAAACCCTCCTTCAAATCAGTCAATTCGAATAGAACACTTTTTTTTAAGGGTAAAAGACCAAACTGCCCGAAACATTGACACCACTCCTGATTGTCTAAGAATTGTCCTGACACGTTGAAAATTTGGATTTTTTGAAAAACATTTGTTAACAGCCCAGACCAGAACCAAAATGGCGTCAAGCTCTCATATTTCGATCGATATACGATTATCGAAGGCTCTGATATGAGAATCGGAAGGGTCAGGACAATTTTACGACAATTCAGAACACTGTGGTAATCGATAAACTCGCATTTGAACGAGATAAAGGCAAAAAAAGTGTCTTATGCGCTTCTATGCTGTAACGATGGTAATACGAGGTCTCGGAGTGAACATTTAATTGACATGGAAATCACAGATGGCGCAGGGGGTCCCTCTACAGTCAATTAGGGCCCCAGAAAGCACGAATCCAGAGGATTTCTGGAGTTTTACTTCGATTTCTTTATAATTATTGAACGAAAACGACAAATGGAGTATGCCATTTCGTACAGTACCCAATATAAATCGATACAACTGCCAATGTAAAAACGAACGTCGGCTACATAGATATTTAGAAAAATCCTCTTTATGAACGTCGATCAAGTTCCTCGACGTGTTTCAGTTCACCTTAATATCAGTGTTTCACCTGAGATTATATCGTATAAATAATTTCTTTTCTTTTTTAATGAAAATCATTTCCGGCATTTTTTCAAGGCGTTTACGTTTTTATCAGCACGGTTTCTAAGTTTGTTTTTGTATTAAATATCAATAGTTCTAATACAAATTCCACGTATACATATTTACATTGTAAAATATAATTGTCATTATTTCTTTCAGTTCTCAGGGTGCAACATACGATGGTAAGAATAAATTCTATAAACCTAAATAGAGGAATTAATGAAAAACGGGAAGTGGATGGATTAGACCGAATATTTTAATACGGTATGAAGTGTACAGATTTTTCCTATAGTTACGTTTATATATTAATTACGTTTTATGTAATGAGTAATGAAATAATAAATATGGAAGTACGACGTGTAATTTGTACTGGCTACAACCAGGGTTGAGCAGAATTTATTCGAATAACAAACAAGCTACAAACATTATGCATTTATCTCTTATCAGCGTATTCGTCTTTTATTCATTCGTTCATCTGTTATTTATTTACTCGTTAATTATAAAGTTTTATTCTCAAGTAGATTTTCTGCTGAAGGAACTATCAAACATACCGTTTAATTTTTATTTTAATTAAGTAAGTTAAAAATAATGTTATCTTATCCTTTCACAAACTTTAAGTTTCTCTTTAAGTTCAAGTAATAATTATATACTCTGACAACGCACCTTGTGGGGCGATCATCCAAGGTTCATGATTTATGCGTATGATTTTCTCTGAAATAATATAATTTATTTTCCGCAATTTCAGCAAGTGAATTTTCATTTTGACACATTGCCGGCCGCTGTCATGTACGCGTGACTTCTTTTCGTCAGTGGTAATGCTTCATTCCGATGATTATATAGGTAGATATGGTAAGTCCGGGATATATGGACCACCGGTATAGACGGACTAGTCGAATATTTGGCTGGGGTGTCACAACAGCGCTGCAGTCGTTGTCCGAAGTTGTTCTTCTTGAGTAGACGGAACCACGCTTAGTTTTGCTCATGAGTTTCATGCGTATTTTAGAAGAAAACTTTGTTTATTTCTTTTGGTGAGTTGAAAAATATTTTATACTGGATTTATTTGATATGTGGTGAAGTTAGTTTAAATGATTTCGACGTAAGATCAATCCTATAACTCAAGTGTATACTTGAGTACAATCTTAACCTAAAATGGCACGCCCGTAGCGCTGTTTGTCTGGACGGGAAACTGGTCCATCTATCCCCGACAATTGGGATAGATGGACTACTTGAAAAAACCTGGGATAGGCGGACCATATCTCCTATTAGGGCTTTACTTTCTATATAAATGGATATATGGATGAATGGATGGATGGATGTGAATATAAATCAGACTACCTATATTTTCTAAGTATATTGACTATCAAATTTACTTATCCTTTTTCAAATAGTCTTCTCTATACTAATCACTTTTGAAGCAGTTTATAACTTTATACTTTGAATTAAACAATGTTTATACCTTTGATAACATGTATTTCTTGTGTTACACCCTGATTTAGTAACGTATACCAGAGATCCATCAATCCCTAGGAGGTGGTCCATCTAACTCGAGTACCCTCGGGATAGATGGACTACCGAGTAAAAAAAAAGAAAAAATCATAACTTCAAGTGTGATTAGTGTAACAGCTGGAGAAGTGCTTACAATTGTTCAAGGTCCTATATACATATTATAAAAATATATACCAAATCCTAGACATTGCGAAGCTTCAGAAAAAATTACTTTAAAAAAACATGGTCCAACTATCCCAGACTTACCCTATATTGATTCGGAGCAACAAACAAGGGGGACTACATACACCTTAGTGGGTTGAAAAGGCCGATTCTTTTTTTTTTTAATTTTTATTCGGTTATACAACCTTTTACCTATATTCCCTGCAAATTTCTCCCCTTTTCTGAGTCTTGACCAAGAACTGGCTAGGGTTAGTTCTCAAAAAGTCCAGTGTGGATCGATTCGATTCGGTTCCCACTGATCAGGACTTGTCCACGTGTCGAGGTGGAGAGTCCTTTCAAGGATCCTTTGTTCAGGGTAGTCAGAGGGTTCCAGGAAATGTCTGTAGTGTCAGTGCCCTGTGCGGTCCAATAAAGTTAATAGAATAAAAAAAAAAGATGAAAGCGTTTAGCTATACGAATAGTTGTGTCGCCAATGATGCAATAAAGATTAAGAATAAGACTAAATAGAAGTTAGAGTGAAATGTAATGTTTGTATGATTGTGGGGTGAAATGAGAAGTATTTAGATTAAATGACAGCTCGATAGGTGATACCGTTTATGCGTGGTTGAGAGTTCGTGAAGTGCGAGCGGCCGTATGACTCAGTGAGTGAGAATTTTGACGCACAAAGAAATGTATTGATGAGGGTGGGAATGAGAGAGTGAGGAATATGAATTGAGTGAGAAAGAAATTACAGTGAGGCTGGATGAGAACGATCGAATAGGAGTTAGTTCTGACTGGGGAGAGCTCGAGCGAAGTCGGAGGGAAAATCAAGTCCCTTTTTCTGAGATCTTTAAGACGTACTCTTCAATGTATTCGATTTCTTTATATTAATTTTTTTATTAATAATCCNGATCGAGTTGTCGCAGGCCGGGTAACGTCTCGAAAACTTTAGGGTCGATGCGCTCGATAGTGTTCTTCTTCAAGTATAGTTCTTTGAGGTCAGGAATGTTGAAGGCTCCAGGAGTTATCACGGAGATTTTGTTACCTTCCAGAGAGAGCCGATCCTTTGGTAAATTCACAAAACTATTCATCTCTAGATTTTCTATTTGATTGTTGGCCAAAGACAAGCCCATCACGCTAGGTGGTAGTCCATGGAAAGTGTCCGCGGTAATTCTCGTTAAGCTGTTGTTGGCCAAGTGTAAGATTTCCAGGGATTCGAGGCCATTAAAGCAGCCGTTTGGGATGTCCTTGATCTTGTTGTTCCTTAGGACCAGCATGAGAAGACTTTTCAAATTCCTAAATGCTCCCGGCCCTAAATGGACGATGTTGTTATCCTGCAGATATAGTTGTCCCAGGGATTCTAGGTACATGAAAGCATCGGGTGCCACCTCGGAGATTTTGTTTCCTTTCAGAACCAAGTTGGTCAAATTCCGGGTGTGGTAAAAGACCTCGATCGGGATTTCCTCAATCTGGTTATTGGACACGTCCAAATCTTGTAGAGTGTTTGGGAGAGTTCGTACAAAGTCCAGATCTTTCAGGTTGTTCCCCCTCAAATACAATACTGCAAGCAAGAATAAAAACATGGTCAATTTCTATCCATTTACATACCCACTGAAAACCAAACCTAACAGTTACGTAACTTAAAAATAACAAATAACATAACGTTTGTTACAATGTAATAACCTAACAGTTACGTAGCATAGAGCTAGCTAGTTACATGACATTTGTTACAATCCAGTAACTTAAGGTGAAGTGAAACACGTCGAGAAACTTGATCAACGTCGATAAAGAAAATTTTTCTAAATGCCTACGTTGCCGACGTTCGTTTTTATATCGACAGCTGGGTCGAATTATATTGGGTATTGTACGAAATGGCATACTCCATTTGTCGTTTTCGTTCAATAATTATAAAGAAATCGAAGTAAAACACCAGAAATCCTCTGGATTCGTGCTTTCTGGGGCCCTAATTGACTGTAGAGGGACCCCCTGCGCCATCTGTGATTTCCATGTCAATTAAATGTTCACTCCGAGACCTCGTATTACCAGCGTTACAGTATAGAAGCGCATAAGACACTTTTTTTGCCTTTATCCCGTTCAAATGCGAGGTTATCGATTACCAGAGTGTTCTAAATTGTCGTAAAATTGTCCTGAGCCTTTCGATTCTCATATCAGAGCCTTCGATAATTGTATATTGATCGAAATATCAGAGCTCGACGCCAGTTTGGTTCTGGTCTGGCCTGAGTTAAAAAATGTTGTTAAAAAATCCAAATTTTGAATGTGTCAGGACAATTCTTAGATGATCAGGAGTGATGTGTCCAAGTTTCGGACAGTTTGGTCTAATACCCTTAAAAAAAAGTGTTGTATTCGAATCGACTGATTTGAAGGATGTTTCACTTCACCTTAAGATTACATATTAAGAAAGGTTTCCATTTGCCGAAAGTACACAATTTTACCCGCTTGAGTTTGCAACTATCATGGCCTGGTTATTTAAAATTTATTTCGCCTTACCTAGGAGATTTGTGGCGTTGAAAGCGAAGCTCTGTATTTCCTCTATTCTATTATCTTCTAACTGAAGATAGAGGAGGTCCTCATTAGCAATAACGTTGTTTTTGAGGGAGCGAAGCCGGTTCTTGTTAATGGTCACTGACCGGACCCTGGGAGGTAGATCATTGAGTAGCTCTGGGCTGATTTCCTCAATCTCGTTTCCAGTCAGGTCGACGTTGTAGATCGGCAGGTCCTGAAGCTGGTACCAGCCTTTAGCGAACGTGCAAATGCCTTTAGAACGGAGGTTCAGGAATATCCCAGGTCTCCTGACATTCATCTCGAAGGTAGAGCACCCGGGCTCCAGTTTATCCTCTTCGTCGGCTAACTTAACGAGTTTGAGGTGGCCCTCTTCTTGGCAGATCTTGATCTTCCTTATCGGAATAGCCGCATCGATTTCCCCGTCGAGATCGTACTCTTGAGCATACTGAGTCCATCTCTTATTTTCAGCCTCTTCTGGGTCCTCTTTGGGGTCACCTTGAGGCTCCTTCAGTGTTTGATGATCGTCGCGATTGCTAGGGGGGTCGAAGACCCGGGTGCTGAACGCCCAGAGATTGTTATTTCTCGTCAGGATTTCGGCTGACCTTGAAAGGTCGTACAACTCTGAATCGCTGATGATGCCCAGAGGGTTGCTGGAGATGTTCAGGATCTTCAAGTTCGTTAAACCAGAGAGAGCGTGGTTTGTATTAGTGAGATTGTTCTCATTTAGGTAAAGACTCTCTAGGGTCTTTAACTTAGAAAACACTCCCTCGGGCAGTAAGGTTAACTGGTTTTTCTCTAGATTCAGTATTTTTATGTCATACAGATCCTTAAAGGCGTCTTCGGCGAGGGACGTCAGGCCTTGGTTCGAAATGTCCAGCATGTCAATATTTGTTTCCAGGCGCTCCACTGATTTCAAGGTCAGGTTCTCCAGGCGCAGAACGAAACTCTCCTGCTTGATCTCACGGATCATCCCTGCTACCATTGGCAGGAGGAACAGGAGGAACAACATCCTTGTATGCTGGGTCCTAGCTGGAGACCAAGTTTTCTGTTATTTCTATTCTATCTTTCGCAAACTACAACCATGTCAACAAACTTTTTACATGCTGGGTCCTAGCTAAATACCAAGTTTTCTGTTATTTCCACTGTTTTATTCGCAAATGACAACCAATTTGTGAACCAATTTTTGATATGCTGAGTACTAGCTAGAGATCGAGTTTTCTGTTACTTCTACTCTTTCATTGGCAAACTACAACATATTGGTCGACAAATTTTTGACATGCTGGATCCTAGCTAGAGACCAAGTTTTCTGTTATTTCTACTGTTTTATTCACAAATGACAACCAATTTGTGAACCAATTTTTGATATGCTGAGTACTAGCTAGAGATCGAGTTTTCTGTTACTTCTACTCTTTCATTCGCAAATGACAACCAATTTGTCATCAAATATTTTATATGCTGACTCCTAGTTAGAGATCAAGTTTTCTGTTATTTCTACTCTTTCATTCGCAAACTGCAACCATTTTGTCAACTAATGTTTTACATGTTGGGTCCTAGCTAGATACCAAGTTTTCTGTTATTTCTCCTCATTCATTTGTAAACTGCAACCAATTTGTCAACTAGTTTTTTACATGTTGGGTCCTTGCTAAATACCAAGTTTTGTTATTTCTACTCTTTCATTTGTAAACTGCAACCATTTTGTTAACTAATTTTTTACATGTTGGGTCCTTGCTAAATACCAAGTTTTGTTATTTCTACTCTTTCATATGTAAACTGCAACCATTTTGTCAACTAGTTTTTTACATGTTGGGTTCTAGCTAGATACCAAGTTTTCTGTTATTTCTACTCTTTCATTCGCAAACTGCAACCAATTTGTCAACTAGTTTTTTACATGTTGGGTTCTAGCTAGATACCATGTTTTCTGTTATTTCTACTCTTTCATTTGTAAACTGCAACCATTTTGTTAACTAATTTTTTACATGTTGGGTCCTAGCTAGGTACCAAGTTTTCTGTTATTTCTACTCTTTCATTCGCAAACTGCAACCAATTTGTCAACTAGTTTTTTACATGTTGAGTCCTTGCTAAATACCAAGTTTTGTTATTTCTACTCTTTCATTTGTAAACTGCAACCATTTTGTTAACTAATTTTTTACATGTTGGGTCCTAGCTAAATACCAAGTTTTGTTATTTCTTCTCTTTAATTCGCAAACTGCAACCAATTTGTCAACTAATTTTTTACATGTTGGGTCCTTGCTAGATACCAAGTTTTGTTATTTCTCCTCTTTCATTCGCAAACTGTAACCATTTTGTCAACACACTTTTTACATTTCCGTCGTTCCATATTACCTAAATTATTCAATCACAATTCAGAATCAATAATTCTCGGAAAGTTTCTTACCGAACAATCCAAGGAACCGACAAAATCCCGGAAGGATGAGGCGTTGTCGATGCGAGACCTTCCTCGGGGAGACGTCCAGAAAGACTGAAACCTATTCTCGTTACCGATCCCCATGTCCCCTGCGTAGTGGTCGAAAACAGGTCTTACGAGTCTTGTCTTCTCGATTTTTAGTTAGAAGCATCTTTACCTCAGAAATGACCTTCGAGTTCAATGTACGCACATGGAAACCATGAGTCCACGTAGTCCAAACCCCTGAGGATGGTGTCTCTAGGTGCCCAAGGTACAAAGTCAAGTTTTGCCGATTTGAATTCTCATAAATATTCCTCTTTCTTTTCTTATTGTTTTCAGAGTCTCATGTGCGTCGCTGGGAACCGGAATAGCATAATATTTACGTCCCGAGAGAGAAAATAAACTCTCTTCGACCGTTGATTTTGCAATCATTTCCTTCGTTCGGTTTCTTTTTTATTGCAAATTTCACCGTTCGTTTCCTTCTCTTACGTATTTTGACGAAGCAATAAATATGAAGATCGGACGATTCCAGGAGCTACCGCGATTCCCAGAAATAATTTTCGAGATTTGCATACAACTTCGGTCCGCCTTCTTCTGACGCGGTTCTAAAATGATGTAATGTTAAAAGTAAATATTTCTCAATTCTTACAAAAAGAAGATTTAAGGGGAAGTGAAACATTCTTCAAATCAGTCGATTCGAATACAACACTTTTTTTTCAGGGTATTAGAACAAACTGTCCACAACTGACACATCAATCCTGATCATCTAAGAATAGTCCTGACACATTGAAAATTTGGATTTCTTAATGATTATTTGTTAGTTTTAAATTACGTAACTGTTAGCTTTGGTGTTCAGTGGTTTCTTTTTTTCTGTGTATATAGGAGGTGCAAAAAGATGGACTCAATTTCTTTTTAAAAATGCCTTGAAGTTGGGTGGGTCTGTCTTTTCATAACACCCTGTACAACTCGAGAAATCTTTTATAAGTCTGTCGAGCAGTTAATGTACACGGATAACCAGTTTCGCGGGTTTGCAGCCATCTCATGGTTCAAGAGCCCAGGAGAAATAAACCATCCGATTTATACATTCGGGTGATCATTTTGTTGGACGATTGAATTAATGCAATGTACACTAGCAGACATGAATGTTATCTTTGGGCACATCCCACGGAGAAAGAAACCTTTTAAACTTACAGAATCAGTGATCATTTTGTTGGACGATTGAATTAATGCAATGTACACTAGCAGACATGAATGTTATCTTTGTGCACATCCCACGGAGAAAGAAACCTTTTAAACTTACAGAAAAATCTGTAAAATATACAAATTTAATCGGTTGAAATAGGGACAGTAGATTATGTCTCTCAGCGATATCGTTCATTTTTTGTTACTCAAATCTGTACAGATTACAGATAAATATCCATAACGATTACATGAGCCGTTTAATTTGACAGTGGCTTAAGTCCATTTGTCAATTATTTTTGGTTGCCCGGAGTTACATGCACAACTTGAAGTTATATATCAATAAAGCATTCGAGGTTAATTATATTCCGAGTAAATACGATAATTTTGGACACATAAGTTTTCAGAGGTATTTCAATAATTAAAACTATCATTTTGAAAGTGATTTCCAGGTCAATTAAATTTTTAATCCGAGACCTTGTATTCCCATTGTTTCGGCATAGAAGCGCAAGACACTTTTTTTTGCCTTTATCCCGTTCAAATGCGAGTTTATCGATTACCAGAGTGTTCTAAATTGTCGTAAAATTGACCTGACCCTTTTGTGTCTCATATCGGAGCCTTCGATAATTATATATATATATATTCATCGAAATATGTGAGCTCGACGCCATTTTGGTTCTGGTCTGGGCAAAGTTAAAAAATGTTTTCAAAAAATCCTAATTTTGAATGTGTCAGGACAATTCTTAGATGATCAGGAGTGATGTGTCAAAGTTTCGGACTGTTTGGTCTAATACCCTTAAAAAAAATGTGTTGTACTTGAATCGACTGATTTGAAGGGGGTTCCACTTCACCTTAAAGTGAAGTTCCAATCGACTGCTGTGTCGATTTATATTGGGTATTGTACGAAATTGTCATACTCCATTTGTCGTTTTCGTACAATAATTATAAAGAAATCGAAGTAAAACTCCAGAAATCCTCTGGATTCATGTTTTCTGAGGCCCTAATTGACTGCAGAGGGACTCCCTGCGCCATCTGTGATTTCCAGGTCAATTAAATTTCCACTCCGAGACCTCGTATTACCATTGTTTTGGCATAGAAGCGCATAAGACAGTTTTTTTTGTCTTTATCCCGTTCAAATGCGAGTTTATTGATTACCAGAGTGTTCTAAGTTGTCGTAAAATTGTCCTGACCCTTTTGTTTCTCATATCGGAGCCTTCAATAATTATATATTGATCGAAATATGAGAGCTCGACGCCATTTTGGTTCTGGTCTGGGCTGAGTTAACAAATTTTTTTCCAACGATTCACATTTTAAATGTGTCAGGACAATTCTTAGATGATCACGAGACTTGTAACAAAGTTTCGAACAGTTTGGTCCAATACCCTTAAAAAAAAAGTGTTATACTTAAATCGACTGATTTGAAAAGGGTTTCACTTCACCTTAAGAGGAAGGATGATTGGAAAGGCTGGCAAAATCGAATAAAATACATAGTGGTATATACGATAATGTTCCAAATTTAATGGCTATCGTTACAACTTAAAACAGAACAGCGTTTGTTTTTCATCAACTTTTTTGTGGTCTTACTCCTGTGTGATGCGATTATACAACGATGGGCGGGTCTTGAGTAGTTTCGCGATATACAATACAGAAATCTGCGACAGGAACACATGTCACAATTTAGAAATATCGGTTTCCCCACTTCATATCTTGCCTATTGTATTCCTCCTGAAAACTTGGAATAATTCTAGCCAGCTTCAACCATCTATCGATTATCCTTCATGGCTTTCCATTATAATTGCAAACGCGCACCTCTAACTGCCATCATCTTATATATAATCCGTATTTTCCTCACTCACCGGAGTCGTTTTTATGGTAATAAAGAAAACCCTACGATACTTGTACTCTTCTCTTCTCTTTCCGTTTATGGCCGTCCTATATACGGTTTAGTATTCTTTTTGCCTCTTCAGTTTTCAGGATGGCTTCTTGATTTTACAAAAAGACTATTGTTGCTGATGTCACTATTTCTGTGATACATTCAGCATACACGTCTAAGATTCTCTCATGGGAGGTATCACAAGAGAGGACTCGACGATGTGTGATTAAGAGAGAGCCACGGCGCTTCGACGAAAAGAGAAGAACTTCGATTTATACTAATCCGGACCGAGTGCTTGCTGAACACTCGTTAATCGCGGCTCCAGTTTTCATAAATCATACAAACAGGCTTGGTGTTACGCAAAGTGTTTACTTAAATAGTTATACATACATAAAAAAGGAAAACAAACGAGAAGTCTTCTCTGGTCGTATCGTCACATTTGTTTTCACGGGTTTCCACCTTCTGATTTTACAGAAAATAGTGTCTGGACGAAGTGTCTTCCCTTTGCCAATTCGGAGGGGAAAACACAAAAGAACATTGAACTCTAGGCGGATGCGAATTAGGTGGTCGGACTAACTGAGAGCTCGCTCGTTAACGCGTTCACCGCCAGGGGGCGCCACTGGCGACTGCCGGGTTAACGCGGTAATTCTGAATTTGCGCAAGCGGATTCGAATTCTATTTGACTACTAAATCCAATGGTTGAACGGATGTACAGGGGACACTTAAAGATATACGGATATATCGAGAACAGAGAGCAACGTTCCGACAACATGACTCTCCCCGATTTTCTGCCACTAAACGAACTGGACTGACAAAAGTTCATTAATTTAAAGTTATTTCAAATGGAACGTTCTTCCTCGCGGCGGTTCGTAAAGGCGAACCGGGCAATCCGTATTAACTAAATCGGTTTATCATCCCTTCTTCCCCGTTACTCACTCACTCGCTCTCATTCATTCGTTCACTGAAATTTCCACACGCTCTCTCCCCTCTCTTTCTCTCTCTCTCTTCCCCCTCAGCCCCTCTTGTATTTTCTCACTCCGATCTTTCGAATATAGAACAGAAACGACATCAGCAATGATTGAACTTCCCTTCTCGTAATCCAGGTAAATTCAAGCCATTTTCTCTCCTTTCCTTCGCCACCCCTTCTCCTCCGTCGCGCGTTCTCTCTTCCTGACTCCTTATCCTATCGGCCACTTTACATATTACTATCAATATGTTAAAATACAAATGTCACTTATACAATCTCCTCATTTTGCACTTCTCACGCATACATACAATTTTAAAATAATTATCAATAATCGCGGGTTTCCTTTTTTCAACCTATTTCCTCCCTCTTCGTGTCTTCTCTTAACCATTACTGTAAATAATCGAGGACTGGCGGGTAGTTATTTGTTCTCCTAATGTAAGTACGCTCACTCTAAGGTCAATGGTATGTACAGTAGGTGAGGTATGCTTCGGGAATCCAAGGACACGGGTGACAGATGAGATTTTTTTTTTCTTCCTTTATGCGCGCGTCCAATTATTCGCCGTCTTCCTCTTCCCATTCTTCTTCGCTATCGTTCTTTATGGCGTTTGCGGGGGCTCCTACTCCAGGCCCATCCTTCAGTTTCTTCTTATACGCTGTCATTTCCTGAAACGTAATGAACATTCGTCATTATTCAGTATTTTTCAATCCCATCCTGTCTTTAAACTATTCAAGGTCGATACGGAACACGGTAATTAGAATATCGACTCTTTTTATTATAGTTAAGGTGAAGTGAAACACGTCGAGGAACTTGATCGACGTCGGTAAAGAAGATTTTTCTTAATGCCTACGTAGCCGACGTTTCTTTGCTTGGTATTTTATTAAATTGGGTATTGTACAAAATGGCGTACTCCACTTGTCGGTTTCGTAGAATAATTATAAAGAAATCGAAGTGAAACTCCAGAAATCCTCTGGATTCGTGCTTTCCGGGGCCCTAATTGACAGCAGAGGGACCCCCTGCGCCATCTGTGATTTCCAGGTTAATTAAATTTTCACTCCGAGACCTCGTATTACCATCGCTTTAGCATAGAAGCGCATACAACACTTTTTTTGCCTTTCTCCCGTTCAAATGCGAGTTTATCGATTACCAGAGTGTTCTAAATTGTCGTAAAATTGTTCTGACCCTTTCGATTCTCATATCAGAGCCTTCGATAATTGTATATTGATCGAAATATCAGAGCTCGACGCCATTTTGGTTCTGGTCTGGGCTGAGTTAAAGAATTCTTTTGAAAAATCTAAATTTTGAATGTGTCAGGACAATTCTTAGATGATCAGGAGTGATGTGTCAAAGTTTCGGACAGTTTGGTCTTTTACCATTAAAAAAAAAGTGTTGTATTCGAATCGACTGACTTGAAGGGGGTTCCACTTCACATTAAGGTGAAGAATACAACACTTTTTTTTTAAGGGTATTAGACCAAACTGTCCGAAACTTTGAGGCGTCACTCTTGATCATGTAAGAATTGTCCTTACACATTGAAATTTTTGATTTTTAGACAACATTTTGTAATTTAGCCCAGACCAGAACAAAAATGGCGTCGAGCTCTCATATTCCGATCGAGATACTATTATCGAAGGCTCTGATATGAGAATTGAAAGGGTCAGAACAATTTTGCGACTATTTACAACACTCTGGCAATCGATCAATTCGCATTTGAACCGGATAAAGGCAAAAAAAGTGTTGTGTGCGCTTCTATGCCAAAACGATGGTAATACGAGGTCTCGGAGTGAAAATTTAATTCACCTGGAAATCACAGATGGCGCAAGGTGTCCCTCTGCAGTCAATTAGGGCCCCCGAAAGCACGAATCCAGAGGATTTCTGGAGTTTTACTTGGATTCACCTTAAGGGTGAAGTGAAACCCCCTTTAAATCAGTCGATTCGAATACAACACTTTTTTTTTTAAAGGTATTAGACCAAAATGTCCGAAACTTTGACACATGACTCGTGATCATCTAAGAATTGTCCTGACACATTGAAATTTTGGATTTTTAGACAACATTTTGTAATTTAGCCCAGACCAGAACCAAAATGGCGTCGAGCTCTCATATTTCGATCGAGATACAAGTATCGAAGGCTCTGATATGAGAATCGAAAGGGTCAGGACAATTTTACGGCAATTTAGAACACTCTGGTAATCGATCAATTCGCATTTGAACGGGATAATGGCAAAAAAAGTGTTGTATGCGCTTCTATGCCAAAACGATGGTAATACGAGGTCTCGGAGTGAAAATTTAATTGACCTGGAAATCACAGATGGCGCAAGGTGTCCCTCTGCAGTCACTTAGGGCCCCAGAAAGCACGAATCCAGAGGATTTCTGGAGTTTCACTTCGATTTGTTTTTAATTATTGTACGTAAACGACAGGTGAAGTATGCCATTTGGTACAACATCCAATATAATTCGACACAGCTGTCAATATAAAAACGAACATTGGCAACGTAGGCATTTAGAAAAATCTTCTTTATCGACGTCGATCAAGTTCCTCGACGTGTTTCACTTCACCTTAAAGGGTATCGTAATTAGGCAGATATCTTTATCCGGGAGTATGAAAAAATCGGGTATAAAGGGTACAACCGTCACGAGTTACTTGTTCCTGTTTAAAATAACCCCTTCAATTAAAATTACTAGGCATATTAGAAAATATGTAATTTTCTTAGGAGTGAATAATTTGTAAACGTTTCTTTGCAGTTCTTGTTCTCGCAACGGAAAATAATGTGATCGTTTTATATCTCGCTTCCGATAAATTAATTACCCAGACAGCACAAATATATAACACAGAGGTTCATAGAATATTCTTTGAAAATGTTTTAATATTAATTAAAATAAAAAGGATATGGATTTATGTGCTATGTACATTATTTGAACATAGGGTGAATGTAGTTTTGGTCAGTTTTTTATATTCTGAAATATATTTAACGAAATATTGTACGAACATGGAATTCATAATTCTTGCACATAAGAAGTAGTATGTCATATACATATCTGAATGATATTTTTTGCTACGCGAATAAAAATACAGAAGGTTCATGTTTCAGTATTCTATTCTTAAATTAGGGTCAACATTTGGGGAGATAAAATATTGAAACATTGAAACGTAAGTACCTACTTTTACAAAAAATAAAGTACTCACCCAGGGAATATAATTTTAAAGTATTAGGGCATGTATGTGTATTCGAAATAAAGTAATAATATATTATCATTATCGCACGAAATATTTAGCACGTTTTGATTTTTTAAAATGAGGGTGTACGTGAAAATGTATAAAACAATTATTAACTTTAGTGTTTCAATGTTATATTACAATGACATTGTTAAACCAATATTGTATATATATAAAACATGAAATATTTGGACAATATCTTGGAAATATTATCATATGTACATGATCCAATATTGTACATAAAATAGCACGTTTTGATTTTTTAAAATAAGAGTATACGTGAAAATGTATAAAACAATTATTAACTTTAATGTTTCAATGTTACATTACAAACCTTTTCTAACATTTGTAGTATATATAGAATAGTATTCCATATTTCAAATGACATTGCTAAACCAATACTGTATATATATAAAACATGAAATATTTGGACAATATCTGGGAAATATTATCATATGTACATAATCCAATATTGTATTTAAAATATCATTGCAATGTCGAATATACATGAGGAATATTTTCCACCTTCTTTTCTATATTCTATGAATATATTATGCTGTCTGGGGATACTATAAGGTAACTGTAACGTAAACTCACCCTTTCGTATCGGGCTTTATCCTTTTCCGCCATAGCCTCGTACTTGGATTTGGTTTCGGGATCTGCGTCCGACCACTTTTTACCCAACTCCTTTGCGATGTCACCTACGCCATACTCCGGATTCAGCAACTTTACCTTTCCGCGTTCATCGTTGCAGAACCAGAAGAATGCTGACCTAAAGCAAAAATAATGTAACTGGTGACTCCATATGCACTTTTGCAAATGAAAAGTAAGAAAAATATAGGCTATTATGAAGTACACGCGACAGTGTTAAGGTGAAGTGAAACCCCCTTCAAATGAGTAGATTCAAATACAACACTTTTTTTTAAGGGTATTAGACCAAACTGTCCGAAACTTTGACACATCACTCCTGATCATCTAAGAATTGCCCTGACACATTCAAAATTTTGATCTTTGGACAACATTTTTTAACTTCGTCCAGACCAGAACCAAAATGGCGTCGAGCTCTCATATTTCGATCAATATACAATTATCGAAGGTACTGATATGAGAAAGGAAGGGATCAGGACAATTTTACGACAATTTAAAACACTATGGTAATCGATAAACTCGTATTTGAACGGGATAAAGGCAAAAAAAAGTGTTGTATGCGCTTCTATGCTAAAAGGATGGGAATACGGGGTCTCGGAGTGAAAATTTAATTGACCTGGAAATCACAGATGGCGCAGGGGGTCCCTCTGCAGTCAATTAGGGCCCCAGAAAGCATGAATCNATATATAGTAACAGAATATCTTAATACCATTCTGCATCATTTTATTGTAATAACAATATGCATTGTAACCGAATAATTAATCTTAAGGTTAAAGATGGGTTTCAAATGTTTTATAAATATTTTGACGTTAATATATATATGCAAATTGTAAAATAAAATGATGCACAATGGTATTAAGATATTCTGTTACTATATACATAATAACTGTACCATATGTATAGTAACTATATCAAGAAACTCGGTAGTTTCGAGCCAAATATATTTTTAAACGATATATAGTAACAGAATATCTTAATACCATTCTGCATCATTTTATTGTAATAACAATATGCATTGTAACCGAATAATTAATCTTAAGGTTAAAGATGGGTTTCAAATGTTTTATAAATATTTTGACGTTAATATATATATGCAAATTGTAAAATAAAATGATGCACAATGGTATTAAGATATTCTGTTACTATATACATAATAACTGTACCATATGTATAGTAACTATATCAAGAAACTCGGTAGTTTCGAGCCAAATATATTTTTAAACGATATATAGTAACAGAATATCTTAATACCATTCTGCATCATTTTATTGTAATAACAATATGCATTGTAACCGAATAATTAATCTTAAGGTTAAAGATGGGTTTCAAATGTTTTATAAATATTTTGACGTTAATATATATATGCAAATTGTAAAATAAAATGATGCACAATGGTATTAAGATATTCTGTTACTATATACATAATAACTGTACCATATGTATAGTAACTATATCAAGAAACTCGGTAGTTTCGAGCCAAATATATTTTTAAACGATATATAGTAACAGAATATCTTAATACCATTCTGCATCATTCTATTGTAATAACAATATGCATTGTAACCGAATAATTAATCTGGTTTCAATGATAAATATAAATTCGTTTAGAAACTGTAATAATATTTGAAAATAAACCGTTCCGTAATGCCCAAATAAATAATTGAATGATCATTACGACACTCGGCAGAGTTTTACACCAAATAGCATGTACGTCAGACATGTACATAATTAAATAAATGTTTAACTACATTGAAATTAAATGTTATTAACTTTAAAATTTGGTAACAAGTATTGTACCAGTTTTTGTGAGATTCTTTTGTTTGTTTACTAGGTCCATTCAGTTTTAACCCACCAAACACCCTATGTTACATTTACATAACACTGGAATAACATGTCATATAACAAACATTATTAGAAAGATACATCAATATCGTATAACGTCGTTACAAACTTGTAAGCATTGCAGTTATACAATTTTAACATAACAAGTGACATGTTACCGATATGTTATGTACACGTTACTCGTTTTATAACAGTATTATATAGTTGCGGAAGAAATAGTAATACAAATCTTGCTTATATGTATGTTACATGACATGTTACAAACATTATGTAAGTTATATTATTGTTACGTAATGGTGTCTGGGGGGGAACAAACTAACAAAGAAGGTATCCCAGGTCGGTCTCTCCGATTTGATTTCTTTTATAATATGTTATAGTAGACTAAAAACTAAGCGACACGTATTTTTTTTTATCTGCCATTAAACACTTTAAGGGAGTGAAACAATCATCCAAAGTAAGGCATGTCAAGGGGCGATTTGGCAGTTTTACCCACAAGAACATAATATTTTTTAACACTATTTCTACCAAAGGTGCCAAAAGACACCGTTTAAAATTTTAACTTGAAATTATTTTCAAAGTTTAATAATTTTTTCTCAATTAATGTTTTGTGTTTTCGTATAATAATTGTTAAATTTATTTAGCGGTATCATTTTCCT